GCCTTCTGGGCTTCTTCGTGCTTCTCAAAGTTGACGAACCCGAAGCCCTTTGAGCGGCCAGTGCTGTCCATCATGACTTTGACACTAAGTGTCTTTCCTGCAAGAGGAAAGCATCTGTCAGAAGAAAGGTGCCCACCGAGGGGGTGTGGCCAGCACACAGCATCCTGCCGCTGTCAGACGCCAGCCCAGCGAGGAGACCAGGCAGCCAAGGCAGCACGGAAGAGCCAAGGAGGAGGACAGACAACCCACGGGGGGCTGTCAGCGGGGAGCCCCACCACGAGACAGGAACAGGAGGCTCTGCATGTCAGTGAGGGCAATGCCTCCCACCCTGGGTGGATGCTGCTCTCATTGCTCTTGGCTTTTTGGTTTCCTCCAGCCAGTACAGTGAGCTCCTTTGGCCAGAAGTTCTCATCTCCTCCACATGTGAACACATGTATTGGGTTCGTATGGAGGGTATGCACAAATCACCTGGGCTAACACTGGCCAAGCGTGGGCAGGGTGGTCCAGGGGTTGGCACATTGCTAAGCCCTGCCACAAGAGGCATCTCCCACTAATGGACTTTGTTTTAAATTCAGACTCAGCACTTTATTTCCACGGCTTCTAGAACCAGAGAGCACACTGGTTTCACCACGATTTAAAAACTTACAAACCAAAAAGACTCCACTTTTGTTAACCAAGAAAGTACAAAAACTGTTTTTTTCCTCTCAGGAGAGTGCCTAATACAAGGATATCATCACAGCAGGGAAGTGCATCATCACATCCTGATGATTTAAGCCACCACAGCCCTTTGGTGGGGTGGTGTTTAAGCACGTCAGAACCCGTGGTGAGAAGGGGCCTCCGTATTTCAGTCCCACACTCTCCATGACTTCCCTTGCAGTTGCCCCAACTCTGCTTTATCAGACATGAGGATATTTTGCTTCAACAACTGCACTCACCAAACCTGGAGAATAATTCTCTCAGTCTGTCGTCATCCATGTCATCCCCAAAGTTTTTGATGTAGACATTGGTGAACTCGATCGCCCGAGCCCCAAACTCGGCCTCACGCTCCTTGCGGGATTTGAAATGGCCAACAAACCTGCAGGAAGCAAGGAAAGGGACCCACACCCCCGTGTTCCCTGCAGAGCCAAGAAGGACGCAGCCACATCCGTCTTCGTACAGGCCAAGAGAGACCCCGTCACCTCAGACATGGCCTACCCACCCATAAACCCCCATACATCCAGCATGGATCCAAGTCACAGCCAACAACGTCAGCATGTCCCAGTCCCTACTTGGCACTACTGAAATGAGGGGAGCAGTATCACAAGACAGTCCCATCCTGGGGTTGTCACCCTAGGAGTCCCCAAAACCCCCAAAGGATGCCACCAAGTGCCAGCTCTCTTCCTCCAAGGCATCCCCAAGCCCTTTGGGCAGCCACCCGCCTCTGTGGAGACAGGGCTGTAGAGAGTAAGGGGATGCAATGTACATGGAGAGCTGAAGAAGAACAAAACCTCTTCCTGCCCAGATTATCTGATGCTGACAGCCAGAAGTAAGGACCAGCCCTGCTTTGTGGGCACTCGTTACACCACCTCAGCAGTAACACACAGCCTGGGGTTGGACTCCTTCCCCACCGTCAGGAGCAGCTCCAAACCACCATCAGACTTCCACCAGCATTGCCCATGAGTGGCTTACTGCCCTGGAGAGCAGCAGAGCCACCATGCCAGCAAGGGTGGATGAGAAGAGGGGAATAAATGGCGAGCAGCAGGAGGAGGCAGCCTGAGCAGGGCAGGTGTTTTTCCCTGGGCGTGCTCCAAGGCAAGGGAGGAGCAGAGCCAAGGGGACACTTACACCTTGCGGTCGTTGAGCAACATCCCATTCATGGTCTCGATGGCCCGAGTCGCTGCCTCGTGAGTCTCAAAGTGAACAAAGCCATAGCCACGGGATCCGTTCTCGTCACAAACCACCTACAGACAGTGAGCAGGGAGAGAGGCACAGGCAGACTCGGGTTTCCTCCACGCTCGCACACGAGCGGTCGCTGGAAAACCTACACCCAGTGTCCAGAGGTGTTTGCCCTCCCTGGCACCCCACTGCTGCTGCTGCTGAGCTGCATTGGGGGGATGGTAGCAGCTCAGGGAGCCAGGTGAGAGCTCTGCTCCAGGGCTGCCTGGGGCCAAGGTGGTTGTCCTCCAGCACCCGGTGCTTTACATGATGCCCAGGAGCTTGTGGCTCACCAGTACCCAAAAGCCATCGATGCACTGAGCTCAGCCAGGACAGCTCACAATACCTCCATGCAAGGACTAGGAAGGAGGAGGGCAGGGGGGAAAACCCCCATTCCTAGGGGATACACAGCAGGGCCTTTTGGCTTCAAAGCAGGTGGGAATTTAGAGAAAATTTGTAGGAAGCAGAATGAGAAAATTAATTTCAGCTGGCTGGAGCATGCTGCCAAGAATGTGGGGCTGCTCTGCAGCAAGCCCCTTCCTGCAGGGCCCGTGGGCACATGTACCTTGCATGACAGGATGTTTCCAAAGGCTGAGAACGTGTCATACAGGGCTTTGTTATCGATGGAGTCATCCAGGTTCTTGATGAAGATGTTTCCAACTCCTGACTTCCTGAGCCCAGGGTCCCGCTGGGACCACATGATGCGGATGGGGCGACCTTTGATCACTTCAAAGTTCATGGTGTCCAGGGCTCGCTCAGCTGGCAAAGAGGCAAGGACAGGGGGAGAGGGGAGGGTAATAGAAACATCTCCTTTGCATCCTGCAGCAGCTGAGATGGGCACAAGCATCAGGGGTACTGGTGCATAGGGGCTCGTTAACCCAAACAAGACAGGCAGCTCTGCCTCCCAAGGGTAGCAGGACCTGCTCTCCTCTCCTCCAGCCACACCACTGCTTCCTTTTTAATATATTTTTTTTCCCCCCCCACTCTCCAAAGCACGTCTGACTGCCACGGGATGATCCATTTCACTGCAAGCTCCAGTTTGGCAGTTGCCCAACTCATTTACCTGGTAAAGATTTTGGTCTCCAGGGCAACTGACTCAACACCTTCCCATCACCTCGCTCCAGCATGAATCACCTTTCAGTTACAGCACCATGTCACTGTGATGCCAGCCAGGAGAGGGGGTCTCAATTCATACCACAGGCCAGTGGGCAGCCAGCAGCCCAAGGGAAGTGCAGAAGGGGTTTTGGTGCCCTTCTCCATCAGCTCATGGAGGGAGGTGACTCTGGCATGTCACCTTCCTCCCTCCTCCCCCAACAAGCCTAAAGCCCAGCTCCTGCATCCTCTCCCAGTCCCTATGAAAAGGGTGGAAGCAGGATGGGTCACCATCCGTGAGCAGACTGGGATTAGTTACTACATAAAACTCCAGAACATTGCCCAAGCCCCAACAGCTGATGCATCCATTCAGAGAACTGCTCTCCCTTTTCCACCACCTGCCCTCCCACCTCGTGCACTCCCCAGGTCCCCGCTGTGAGGCAGCTTGTCGTGGCTGCGTTACTGGGATCATACCATCTGCAGGCTGCTGGAAATTTATGTAGGCATAGCCCAGCGATCGGCGTGTGGCGACGTCCCGACAGACCCGGATGGACATGATGGCCCCAGCTGCAGAGAACTTCTCATAGAGCATGGCTTCGGTCACATCAGGGTGGAGATCTCCCACGTAGAGAGAGGCCAACGGGTAGCCAGGGCCGCTGGCGTTCATGGTCAACCACAAAGCTCAGCTGTGGACAAGGCAGACCTGAGGCTGCAAGGCACAGCAGCAAGCACAGACCCATGCTGGAGCTGTCCCCAGAGCAAGCCGTGCTCTTCCCACCATTGCCCCAAGGATGCTGCAGTTCCCAGATTTTTCAGGGACATTTGAAAGCTGGTGCAATCTGCACCTTACCCTTGCAGACCTGGGGAACGGCCAGAGGGACACACCACACTCTCCAGTTTGAACACTCTGCTTTCAACACTCAAAACCCAGGAGACATACAATGGAGTTTAATTCCTCAGAAGGTAAACAGCCCTTCTCCACCAGAGACTTCCATTTTAATCCCTCCTGAAGAGCAAAGCCGAGGGAGGAGCACAGGTTTGCTCTCTGCACGGTGCTGCCCTGCCCAGGGGGCAGCTTCCCACCAGGAGCCCTGCAGCCTACACCACTGCAAGCACTGCTTCCAGCAATCACCTCCCCCTCTAACAAGGCAAACACAAGCTTTTTAGCCAGCCTCTCCCCATTTCTGAGCTTGCTTATGAGATACCCAAAGCAAGAAAATTCATGCTCAGTCACTAGCTTGAGTATAAAGTTGTGTGTGAGGGTGACAGTCAGTGACTGCCTGAGAGCCCAGAGGTACTATCTGATAAAACAGAAACACAGCTCTTGCCTGAAACACTTATAAGCCCATCTTTGGGGCTCTTACCTTAAAGCTCAAAAGACCTGAGACACTTAGGATGCCCTATGGATGCCCCCCTCAAATCGTACACCCGCACATGAGAGTTGCACTAAGCCATCACAGACTGGGTTGGAAGGGACTTCAAAGATCATCTCCTTACAACCCCCCTGCCCCGAGTGAGGCCACCTCCCACTAGACCAGGCTGCTCAAAGCCACGTCCAGCCAGACCTCGACCACTCAAAGACAAGCCAGCGGAGCTGCGGCCCGGGGCAGGGCGGGGGGAACCAGCCCGGATAGGGACCGGCCCCAGCACCCCGGCTGCAACCCCCGCGGTAGGAACCCTCC